GCTCTGACTTCTGTACAGGCTTGAAGCTGCTATATGCATTTCAGCTACATCACTCATTTTACAGTAAACCAAACACGTAAGTGCAAAAAGGTGGGGGGGGGGGGGGGGGCAAACTATTTAAACAGTAAATAGAATTTTCCAATCTCTATAAAGAAAAAGGTAAAAGTAAAAATACTGATTCAATAAGTGGATTTCAGGTATTTTGTACTGAAATCCTTCTGGCCCAGATCAGGACACAACAATTTCAATTATGATACAAGATGAGGCTCTTCACACTAAGGGGGAGCAAGCTGAAAACTGTACATAAATCTGAAGCTTCACACAATATTCCTGAGCAAACTGAGAATTTGGACTTTGGAGGTTTCTTTAAAGGCTATTACCTGACGTATCTATTCAGGCTAATTTTCGTACCATAGAGTACACATCCTGTATGCAGTGTGGTCACGGCAGAATAGTACGCTACTTCAAATCAAGTACATGACATTTAGATAGCAGTGAACAAACAGAGTTCTAACTAAAAGTACTGCTGCTGAACAACCAGAATTTCACAGTTCCTGTATGAAATAATTTACCTTCTGAAGACAACAAATATTTTGGAGAGTAAGTTAACATTTTAAGATCTGGAATTGTTCTGAATTTTACTACTCAGAGCCAGTACCTAGTCAGAAAACCAGCAAAGCAGTAGTATTGTGAAATGTTACAGAAGTCCTGCTGTTTGTGCAAGATAAATTGAGACTTGCTGAAGAGAATGGAAAGAACAATACATAAAGAAAATAGCAGTTGTTCTTGTCCAAGCATGAGTTATGTATTTATTTCTTTTCCTTCTGTTTATCATGAGCTTATGGTATATACAAAATCTTTTCTGAAAAGAGCTGAAACAGAGACTGCATTCTTAAATATGAGGGAGATATTCTTATATATCTGCTTCTATAAATATGTAAGAGCATACTAAAATATCAATGGAAAATATTCTGATTAAAAATTTTAGCCCAGATTTCCCATCATTAATGCTGAACTTTTATCTTTTCTTTAGAAATCAGTAAGTCAAGGAATATATTTACCTTTGGAATATATTTACCTTCGCTGACCTAATGTTTCATGTGTAGAATGAGATGGCAAAATCTGCAGTACTTGGTGCAGGGTGGAAGGAAGAATTTGTTCTTTTAAAACATATTTCAAAATTTTAAATATTGTTCTTTATTAAAGATCTTGAGACGTGTAAATGGTAAAATAGGAAGTATATAAATACTCTTTGGTATTCCTAGTTAGGCAGTAGTGAGCCACTGATAGCTGTATTTCTTAAACCTGTCCCCACACCTCATTATAACAAAGCAGGTAAGATTGACATTAGTAGAGACAGTATTCATAAAACTCAAACATAAGGAAAATGTGGTCCAGAGGAGACCCAGAGCCAAGTGTTATATAGCGTCTGGCCAGTCTATTTCATTTGACCTCAGGTCCAGAAAACATTTTCTGTATTATTTACCACTACAGCCATATCTCTAAGTTTTGGGGAACTGGAAAAAAGAGATTTTAGAAAGAGCCAATGCAGCCATTAAACTCTGAGAGTCTCTAAGACTCATTTCTTGCCTTAACACAACCTTGCTTCCAGCAAGTCCTGAGAATATCAGGATATTATCTCCCCTTCAGAGCAGAAGTACAAATGACTGCAGTTTATGCAGATGTATCCAGACTAGCATGAAACCAGCCAGCTCCAAGCACTAACAAGTAGTCTTCCATCTTTAAGTACTCACACTGGTGATGAAGGTAAGTCGGTTACTTGTGCAGGAAGTCCTATTTGTAGTGATTAGTTCAGCCCTACCTGAATAGTAATCGTAACTGACAAGTTATAATTTTTTTAAAAATTTCTTCTGAACCGGATCAGTACATTTGATAAGGGCAGTAGACAGTATTATTTCATATTGAGATGGCTACTCAGAGTGGGAAAATATATGCCATGCCAATGTACCTTTCCATATGATTCATATACTAGGCAATTATCAAATATATTTATCATGGAAGCTGCTGGTAAGGGCTCAAGAGATGCCCGCATTGCTACTACTTTTCTGTGACTTCAAACTCAAAATATATGACTAGAAATATAATAAGAACACAAAATTCTGAATTGCCTAAACATTCTTCCAGAAGTTTTAAAAATCGTACTTCTGAAAAAAATAAATTTTCCTCATATATACTTGTGCATGTGTATACCTACATACGCAACAAAAACAAAGCTTAAGGATCATGTCATGCTAAGACACATCTATTTCTTCCAAATTATTATAAAAGTTCCTTCAGAACACTGCTCCTTTAAGAGGCCTCTTGTTATTATATCTTGGAAATATTTATACGTGCCTATTTTTTTCTCAAAAGTATCTTTTTAACTAAAAAGGCTTTGATATTACACTTTTTTTTTCCAAAATGCTTACCATCTATGCAGTTTGTCAAATGCGCTTTGAAAAAAATCTCTTGATTAGTGTGTCCTTTTATTTCCAGTCAGAAACAATTTCCTAAAAAAACTGCATTTAAATCAATCTTTTCCATCTAAAGAAAACACTTGCCTATTTTTTACAAGTATTACCTTGGTGCTTCAGTTTCATGGAGATATTGGATCTATTACACATAGGATAGATTGTTTCGTATTGCTCCAGAAACCTCCTATTAAAATTAAATGCTAGCCATTTTATCCTTTCACATGACAGAATGGTCAGGGAGCTGTGGAAGTGATGCTTTTTTCCAGAATTACACAGGGGGATGGGGCAAAGAGAAGAGTTTTATATTGATGCTACTCTGTAAGTAGCTCATTGCAATTGGAAACCTCGATTCCGGATGCACGGAAAAATGTTTGCTGTATCAAAACACTGAACAACAGGTTTCTGGTAAGGGCTCTGGAGCTGTTCAGTATCAGCCAGCAGCACGCTTGCAGAGAACCAGAATGGCAAATAAAATACTAAGTAAAAGACAAAATCATTTTTGGTGAAGGCCTGAAGATTCAGTGCATTTTTTTCAACACATCTGACATCAGTGTGCAAGTCATGGATGACACTGCTTCTGACTGCCATGCTGTAAGTTTACTGAAAATGCATGCCATGTGAAGGCCACCATCTTGCCTTCTAATATGAAGTGTGCACTAACTAATACTGTGGACAAACACACAACTGTTCTACAGTACTCCAAGGAAGAAGCCTTGAATTACATCAACCAACCTTCAGCGTGGTAAAAGATTGTTCATGGTTTGGCCTCAATAGGCAGACAGTCAGACACACGATAACACACAGGCATTTACATTATCTTCCATCTGTTAATAGATCTACAGAGAACAAAAACATCTTGTTAACTACCCCTTCTATCTCTGTTCTGTTTTGTTCTCTTAATTTCTACCTATGACTTGCCCAGCAGTACCTGCCCATGAAACCTGTAGGAGCACTAGATTTGCCTTGTACCCAAACTAATACATTTCCCTTTTTCAAACAGCTATGAGAACTACTGGGCTTCCAGAAGACTTCAAAACATAAATGGACCATTTTGGTCTGATTGCTCATTTTTTCAGCCATTTCTACTTGTGCGATACGGCTGCAAAATCCTAGCAAATTTGAAGTGTAGTTTTCTTATCACTACTCTGCACAGTGCAGATGATATATTCAACAGTGGATATTCAAAAAGCTTTCAGATTTAAAAGTTTTGATGTGTTAGAAAGTTTTAATGTTTCTTTTCTAACCTATGTATTTCATACTACAGTAATAGCACCTTGATATGCTGTCCAGGAACGGTGATTCAGTGTTCTCCTTTGCTCTTCCCAGCTGCCAAGGCTTCTGCAATGCAGAAGGCCACAAATTAACTGGGAGAAACAGGCTCCATTATAGTCAGAGACAGATGGCAGAGAGTTTTTAAATGTCTGCATTACCTTATTCTCCACCCTATCCCTTAAGTCATCTTAAGTGGAGCAGTATTTTCCTCAAGCTTTTGTACTTTGAATATGCAGTAAGCATAATTACTGTATCTGCATATCTTCTCTTCCTACTTGCCTACTAGTATTTTTCCATGTCCAAAAGGTAGTATTAGTAAAACTCCCACAAAATACAGTTCCATCAAAAGACAGACTTCATTTGCTGGAACATTTTTGGAGACAGTATGAATCTGCTTGATTCCTAGTGGCAGTGGGTAACATTCCTTGTATCGCAAAATTCAAAGGTAGTTTTTAAAGAAGTTTACTCTCTGTTGATTAATTTGTTTTTGTCCTGTCTCCCCACTCACTCTTTGGTCCAGCTATATTTTTTCTTTATTCTACATCACATATTCTTCATGTCAGGTACAGAATTCAGAAAGCTTATTATATTTTATATATTATATATTGCTTAAAAGAAAAAGAGACCTTTTAAAATTACAGTCATGTTTAGATAGGACTTTATATAAAAAATTTCAAAAGATTTTGGATCACTTTGATTACTTCTCTAGGGTACTGTATATTATTGTAATATTTAGAATAATTCCTATCTTTTAAACCAAATCAAAAGTATTTTCCAACATTTTTGACCAGAATGTCATGCATTCTTAACTCCTAATGTATTTGTATTATTGTCCAATATCTGAGAGAAATTGAGATAATATACATTAAAAAAATCTGTTGTTGCCCTTGTTAATCCTAATTCCTTAAATGAGCATATACAAATAATAAAATCACGATTAAATTCAGGGTCAGTTAACATTATTCACTTAAAAAATGCTAGATAAATTACTGCTATCAGGTTTCCACAAAGTATTTTAAGGATAACAAGACAAACAAACATTATGTTCAGTACACAGACAATCTGGTGAAGTTCTATGGC